GGCTGAGCTCCCATGAGCTTGCTCTCACAGTTTCGGACATTAATTTGTCCGCAGAGCTGGACAAAATGCAACCCCGCTGCACCGGAAAAAAATCAATTGAGTTTCCCTTTATTATTGAAGAAGATTGTTATGAAAGATTATTAAGTTGTATAATTCAAGCTTTTATCATTGACAAATTTAGAATTCCTCACACATTCCCCAGGACGACAAGAAAACTTCAGGAATCAGGAACGCCAAGAAGCCGTGCACGACACCGTTCGGTCGCCGCTCTGTTAGGCCGGCCTGCACATTGAAGTGAAGGAGAAGTTTTGCATCAGATTTAGAAAGTTTGTATGACGGAACTGAACTAGGGCCCAATTCTCATTATACAAGTCTAATGGCATATTCTTCACTGTAGCAGTCACAATTTAACACCTACATGGCGCGACATTTACAGTCTCGTCCGGTGAACAATTTTGTTATTCTTCCAACAACTACATCGGTCTTATAGAAAAGAAGTGTCGGCACTGAAGAAATAGGCCCATGGCTTGTTGCCGATTCTTGTATTTTTCGTAACTTGATTCCAATAGGGATCGGGCATTTTGAACCCGATCTTTCCATAACTGACGATTGACTGAGATAACTGCTGGATTTATTGCAAGCCTCGTAAGATGCTAGGTATTTCTGGAGTGAAGATTTGCTCCTGCATAGCTTCGTCTAGTCTGATATTGAAGGCGTTCATACCGGAGCTGTACGACAGGCTTTTCTATGCACTTCTAACATAACATAGTAATGTCGGTGCTAAAGAGAAGGCCTGATGTGGCCTGTCGCCGATTCTTGAACTTTTCGTGACTTGTTCACAGAAGATCTAAAATCGTGTCATTTGACCGGATCTTTTCAAGACTGACGATAGTTCGAAACAGCTACTACTAGACATCCACCGGGTTCGATATGATGCTAGGCATTTCAAGTCGTCATTTTTTCGAAAAACTTTGAACGGAGGGATCTTGCCGGCTGACTGGAAAGAAGCTCAAGTGACACCATTGTTCAAAAAAGGTGACAAAAGCTGCCCGGGCAACTATCGCCCTGTCAGTTTGACAAGTGTCGTTTGCAAGGTAATGGATCTGTTGTGAGGGATCGATTGATAGATCATTTGACTGCTAAACTATACTATACTATACTATACTATACTATACTATACTATACTATACTATACTATACTATACTATACTATACTATACTATTATATCCTGAAGTCTATTAATTTTTATGTTTAATCTTTCATGTTTTTTACATACACCTTCTAATCCCGAGGGAGAAAAGCAAGGAAAAAGTTTAATTCACTGGTAAATATATAAAGGCTATTCACAATTTCTTAGAAAGTGATCAATTTCTTCAGCAGGTTTGTAACATGTTTCTACTTAGATGCAAGTGATTATTTGCTAGTTGATCGCGAGTGGTTTTTTTCTCTCAGTATCATGATTAAATGTTGTAAATAGTTTGGGCATCTTCTAATTTTATAATTTTCTTCTATAGTATTTATCTCCATATTCGGAATGAGAATTCTGATAAACGGTAAATCGATAGACTGCAAAACATGAGTCGTGCGATTTTTTCAGCGCCCGCTCAGTTAGTTTAACGTAGTTGCTCCTAAAATATTTTTCTGTGGATCATAGAAAATTTCTTTTTGTTTGACTGATTTAAAAATTCTGGTAGATGAATTTAATTTGTGTCGTCGTGAAGTGATGACGTAATTTAAGTAATTTCATCGGGGAATAACAATTACGATAGTCAGAATATTGCGTGGTTAAGATAGCCTGAGTTGGCAACGAACATTTACGTAGTTCCGAATGCGGAGGCGAAAACGAACAGTTATGTAGTTCTGATAGGCGATAGCAAAGGTGACGAAATATCACACCATTGCACTCTTTTGTGAACTATAACTATATTTTCCTTGAGCTAATTTTGGTTTGAATTTGTTGAAAATTTATTAGAGTTTGAGGAGCTACGAGGTGACCAGTCGAATAATTAATTCAAATGGTCCGGATTATTGATTATATATGACTATGAGTAGACTGAGTAGTGATATGACACCGTGACGGTGTGACCTGGTTCTTGATTAATTTATATTATCGAACTCCACTGCACAATGTTAATTTTGTGTTCTAGGGTAGCTCTACGACACCATGGAACCTAAATATCTCCTGAATATTAAGATAATTAAAGTCATTTCAACCAATTGAAGCTTATACAACATTTGTATGGGAACATGTCTTTCCTCAATGTATTTCTAAGACTGAACAGAAAACGGAAACTTGCTTTCAAAAGAATATTCCGACTCAGGCGGTATTTCAGTTTCAACATTGCATGGCTCGCAATACATCAGCGAAGTTCCACGCCTAGGTTATGGGTTCCATTTTGTATGCTACCTTAAAGTTCGCGATAATCAGTAACGTCCACTTCGAACAATAGGGTTATAATTTTAATATTTAAGACTAACAAGACATGCGTAGATCTGCTATAGGTTTTAGAGGGATTTCCCTCTCTAAAATTTGACATTGCTATTTAGCTACAACATTACAGCGGTTGACGTGTATGTATACCGGGTTGTCAAAACTTGTAATTTTCCATCAAAAAGTATTTTATTACAACCGTCCCCGAATACACGATTCAAAGACCGTATTGTCTGAATCATGTGAAAGATAAAAAACTAAACTTCTTCTGAAAAATTATTTTAATCTAAGCACATTGTAAAACATCACTGTTCATTTCGCAGTATTACAACGCGAATCTATAGAGTAACTCATTTAAAAATGTTGCGGAAATTTCTGCGGTATATCAATCTTCAGGGAACATTCATGCTCATCGAATATTGCATGTAGTGTCATGAGGTATTAGTCTCTCCCAACTGCGATTCATTACAAATTTTCTTATTTTCAGGTTATGGGAACTAGAAATTTGATTGGTTATGAAGCTGCTGCCCCACTCAGTTTAGTTCAGTTAGCCATCCAATCACTTCTTCTAGTCGCTCAGAAAACTTTATTTTCGAGGAGACACTCTCGCAACCACATTCAATAGTTCATAATTATATATATGTTAATTATATGTCACGTACATGAGAATTTTAACATATGTATTGAGAGCAGTACTGTAAATGAAACCCAAGGGCGAGTATCAATACTAACTTGCATTGTTGAATGACGTAAAAATAATTGTTATAATAGCGGTGTCGGTGTTCATTTGGCTGCTGGCTTTCGCCGATTCTCAACATCTTAGAACATTAACAGCTTGTTGCGGGTCTTGAACGCGCAATTCACTGCAACAATTCTGCTGTGCTTTATCGCCTGGCCTCAATGTTGATTCTGACCATAACCAGGCGCACAGAGCTGGGATCGAACCCGCACCTCTCTGCTCCAATCCACGAACTCTGAACTGTAACCACTGAGACACCCTGCCACGATGAGCCATACATTTGTTTAACGCCTCGCCAACTCGACGTCTAGAACAAACGATGGTGTTTCTCACTTGAATAACATTGGTAGTAATTGGTGTTTATTAGTATTGAATTGATATTTAAGTCAACTCAGGAATATTCTAATCCGAGACGAGCTCGGGGTTCGCAAGCTACTTGTGCACCAGAGCTAACTGCTTCTGCATACATAAGCTCTGGTACCTCCACGCCTCACTTAGCCTCTATATTACGCCTCACTTACCCTNTGGTGCCGGTCGTCGTTTGTGTCGCTATTGTCGTCATTTTGTGGCTGTTTGAGGTGCCGGTTGTCGTTTGTGACGCTATTGTCGTCATTTTGTGGCTGTTTGAGGTGCCGGTTGTCGTTTGTGACGCTATTGCCGTCATTTTGTTGCTGTTTATATCGTTCGCTGAGGTAATTGTCATTATAGTCGGTAATGACGCTAGACTTCCTCCAATCATCACAATTCGCCCGTGTGCTTATCGTCTGTCTCCGTTCACCCAAGACTACTTCCCCGTTGCTAGGGTAGTAGTTGTGTTGAGAAGCCCCTCCCGCATTAGGCTGGCCCCGCAGCAGCTGTTCAGGCTTCACGATCCCTCGTCGAGCTTCGGGCACCGATTGTCTGGACTGTGTCAGGGGCGACAGCTGCAAAATAAACATGGAATTGTGATATAGAAATAGCCGAGAATAAAGTCTATTAGTGTTGACTTAATCGTTTTTGAATTAGTTAAAAACCAATAACTGTCACGAATGAAGATAAGTCTCCTCCAAACTCAGGAAAAATGTTAATTTTGCACCTCCTCCAAGTGAGAAAGGCCTATCCTACCTCTTCCGGGTTGGGAGGTTCGGCGGAGAGATTAATAAAGTCAGACCAGCGGAGTCTGTAGCAGCGGAAGGCGGATCCAGCGCCCGAAAGTGTCAGGCCCCCAGGAAAGGCTTCGTCAAAAGCCACGTCGTAAAGGATGTCGGAGGGCTGTGATGCTGGCTGCAGACCTGCTGGCAATAAAAAATTTATCGATAATACATTTTAGCTAATTACATGATCAATCAATGCTTCAAGTCTTCATGGGTGAATTATATTATTTTTCATCCATGTATAACGGCACCATGGATGAATAATGCGAAGATGCTCCATGATTAATATGGAAGCGATCCTCATGTGGCGCGGATGACGAGCCATACAGCAAGAAACTTCGCATAACCAAGTTATGCGAAGAAAGAATGTTTCAAAAGAAATGTTTTGACTACGATACATTTTAATGCTCCTAAATTCAGGGCAAGAATTATCTAGAAATAATTTATGAAGTTTCGTCCAACAAAATGATATATATAAATCATAGTTCGTAAAACTAGAGAATTTCTAAGACATATTTATTTGATGATAGCGACCTATGACGGTGCCGCGTGCCCCTAGAGGGACAACGTGACCGTATTATGAGTACATGCGTGAACTTGAGGGTTTATGACTTATGACCACTGTCATGAGTTCACTCATTCAGCGCCATTTTCACTGTAAGTCGGAGACGTGAGAGTATTTAATCCTACACGGAGTGTAAGATAAAATACACTGTGTGTATCAGTGTATTTTATGCTAGACTGAGTTATCCCACACTGAGTTATCCTACATTGAGTTATCCTACTCTGAGTTATCTTACACTGAGTTATCCTACACTGAGTTATCCTACACTGAGTTATCCTACACTGAGGTATCTTACACTGAGTTATCCTACACTGAGTTATCTTACACTGAGTGTAAGATAAAATACACTGTGTGCATCGGTGTACAAGTATTTTTTGCTACACTGAGTTATCATACACTGAGTGTAAGATAAAATGCACTTTGTGTATCAGTGTACGAGTATGTTTTGCTACACTGAGTTATCTTACACCGAGTGTAAGATAAAATACACTGTGTGTATCAGTGTACGAGTATTTTTTGCTACACTGAATTATCTTACACTGAGTTATCCTACACTGAGGTATCTTACACTGAGTTATCCATTCATATGTCACTTCGTCACGATTATGAAGAATTTCTGCCCTTCAACATTCAATACGAGATAAATTGGGATAAAATATTGTTGAATTTGAAGAATTCAGAGTTCGAGTATTTAAGACTCGCCCTATATATATAAAATATAAGTCTCTTGAATTTATAACAATAATGAAGTAAAGCTTCATTATAAATTAAAGCAGCAAATAATTGTGTGCAGTATGGTCGAGTACCGATAAAATTGATGCCACATTAAATGCAACGAATATTGATCTAGGCAGTGAAATATTATTGTGTAATTAATTTCCGCCTAAGTTTTTCTTTTACAACATTATGTTCAAATGTGCAACGTCGATTTACAACTGTCTTTTGAGATTTTTTAATGTAATATTTCACGTTCTACTCTATATTTTTCTACCATTTTATCAATAAGATAATAAATGCTATCTACTCAACTACATTAACTGTAAAAGTAATGAATTGATGTACTGAGATATCCAAGTGCTTTAAAACGGTAGATTAAATCATTAAAAATAGATTAAACTGTAACAATTGCTTATTGTACAGTCATGAGTAGATAAAGCCGTCAAGGACTGGCAGTCCACTTGCATCTCGAAGAGGTCAACGTTCAAAGAAATGGTGACTCGATTTATCGAAGCCAGTGAGTAATTTTTCTCTCCCTCTGGATGGTTGAGAAGTATTTCTTTTGGCAACTTTCATTCTTTGCAACGATATCAATACCTGCATGTACTGAGCCCATAATTTTCTTATGAGGACTCAATATATTTACAATTACGTTGCTTATTTTATTTTGTTGCTATTATTACTTATTGCACTATTACTAAATGTATTTTCTTAAAAAATACAATAATGTGCATTTTAATGTATGAAAAGGTGCATTTTTTGGAGTTGAATATGAATATTTGTGATTATTATGAATGCGCTAAATTGTAAATTACCTTCTCTAGCGCTTGACCATGTGCGAAATTTTCTATTCAGATAATTTAATAATGCTAGAATGAATGCCGACAATTGATCCCGTAATTTACGTAAAGAATTCGACCCCAATTCACCGACACTTTCTTTTTGCTTCAAGCACATAATATTCAATGACGATGCAAGCGGCATTTGCTGACCTTGCGCAAAGCCCGTTCAAAATCGCGACGTAAGCGAAATGTCTTCATGCTCAGCGATGTCACTTAATGAGATCTTTAACAAGACAAACGATCTAATTAAAGAACATAGCAATAAAACAGTTCTCAAAGTTCATTATTGATGAGACTTGCCATATGTAAGAGCTATCGTGATATAATCAATACACAGGTGATTATTTTTAATCCCATGTCACTGAGATCATTCAAATGGATGAACCGAAGGTGAAATTTGACAACATTACTGTTAAATTGCTCATGTATGTATCTTCATTCTGCCATTTATTCGAACGATGTTTAATGTTAATGAGATTTTGTTTGTTCAAATATTACATTGTATTTGAATTAAGCGCTGCGAATGACGAATGGTTTGACCCAATTACTGTGTTTACCATTCAACTGTAATATTTCACACGTATGAAATTAACATGTTGACGCAGAAGGCTTCATTTTTTTAGACAGTCTCATTTCACTGTATTTGTCTGTAAATCTTTTTATAGCGAATTTTGCAACGATTACACGCTAAACAAAGAATGATGTTTATTGCACTTCGAAATTTCAGTTGCATTTCAATCTAAAAGTGATGATTAATCGCTATTAACTTATAATCAACATGAATGTCGATTAGATTGACAATAGCTAACTAATAAGTTAACTTTTCAGAAGAGCCAAACAAAGTCCCGCGCGCATTGAAATAGGCACTCAATGTAGCATGGATACAAAACTAAACGTTACTGGAGCTTGATTCCAGTCAAGGATGGTGGGAACGACTGCATGCACACCACCATATACGGCGCCAGGCGGGTAACTGAAGTGCAGCTCAAGCAGACACTTTATTTAAAGTGCTCGGCACCTAATTTCCCCGTATCTTAAATGTTAAAGAACTCCACCACCCCCCACCCTTGCGGGATCTGTCGTGAACGCATAAATCAACGTACAGAGATGATTTTAGTACCGTTGGATAGGTCAGAATGTCAGCTTTAGGATGAGTATAAAACCGAAGAAGCCAAATTTACGACTCTTAGGGTAGACCCCCCCCCTTTGCACTAAATTTATGGGGAAGGTGAAACTAAGAGTCGAAACAGTGCACCAGTTTATTGAAAAGATTGAGTTCTTTGGCAAGTTCCAAGGTCCCTGACTCAGACTCTGCTCCAGGCACCCTCCACCTTTAGCGCAACTTCACGTCTGTAGAAATAAAACATAAAGAGTTCTGATCAATTGAGAATCTTACAGAATAAATTTAGATTAGAATTCCAAATTGTAAATGTTAATTGACCAGACAATGAAGCATTTAATTTAATGGATCGTGCTCAGAAGATCGGAAAGTATTCCATACTGAACGAGAAACAATAGCACTCCCGGAGCCGTGCCGTGTTCTCACCTTAAACTAAAGGCCATCAGTGCGCAGATAAGTTAATCATCACTTTCAAATAGAAATGCAACTCAAATCTTAAGTACATAAAGTTTAACGAGTAAATGTTGCAAAAATTTGCTACAAAATCATTTTCGGTCTAATACAGTAAAGATAAAACAGTTTAGAAACATTCAGCGTTCAGCGAACAAATGACATCAACATGTTAATTTCAAAAGTGTGAAATATTACATTTGAGTACGTAAACACAGTAATTGTGTCAAACCACGTGTCATTCGCTGCGCTTAAATGAAATACAATTCAATACTTGAACTAACAATACAACATATCATAAATATTCAAACATTGTTTAGATTATTGATGAGCAAGTATTACCCTTAATAATGAAGTTTTCAAATTTTAACTTCGGTTCGGCACACTTGAATGACCTCAATAACATGGGATTTAAAAATAACATCTGTCTTGATAATATCTCAGTGTTCCATATCAAGTGCTGGCAAGTCTCATCACGAATGAACGGCATGAGCGTGGAGTAAATTTTTGCTAAAAAAACGATTTTCGAACGGACGTTGCACAAACTCGGCAAAAATTGCATACCGTCATTGAGTTCTGCTTCCAGCTTATCGCAAAAAGATTATCAGTGAATTGCGGTTAAATTCAAGTTAATTATGAAATCATTGATCGGCAATAATTATAAGCCATATGAAATTGTATGAATAAAATCTCGCACGAAATGATCAAGCGTTACTACTTAACATATTTATCACAATCACATATACATGTACAACTCAAAATATTCACCTTCTTCATGTTAAAATGCACATGATTATATTTTTTAAAAAGACACACATAGTACTACACTTACCGCAACAAAACAATAGCAATGTAACTAAATAGATTACATTCTCATGAGAAAATTATGAAACCAATACAAGGTATTGGCATTGTTGAAGGTTGCTATAAATAAGAAAAAGAGAGATGTTTACTACTATCGTCTAATATTTTTATGTTGAGCAATCGAATTGATTACTCTTTCAATTCTACATTACATTATGGCATCAGATATTTATGATTTATCGTTTGTCAGGTTGTTGCCGAGTGGCCTATTTTTTGGCACGTAGTAATTAAGTTCTCACAGGAATAGGTTTACGGTAAAAAAATCATACTGAGAGAGGGTTGCAATGAAACACTGGTACATTTCATAATAAATTGACAAATAAGTTTAATTACATCCTACGCTGACAAAAATTTCTAGTACATGCAAAAAAAAAGAAACTCCAAACACAATTATAATTGAGAGCCTATCAGTTTACATCACTCGAATCGCTCTTTTTACCAGAATTGTTGATCCATTGCAGTTCCGTCGAGTAGACGACAGTTGTAAACGACCGTAATTCACGCGCACGTTTGCTGCTGTATGTTCAGCGACCGTACATCTGAATAGTGGCGTACGTATTCATCGTCGATGGCATTACCCGAAGCTCATTGCCTTAAACGAAGGTTGCTATATTTCTCATCCGTTCAGAGAGAAAAAATAATCTTACTGGCTTCTATTTATCAAGCATCGGCATTTTTCGGGCGATGAACTTTTAAATGTGGCTTCTATTCTATCGGTGCGTATACTCGACAATACTTGCTCACATTCATTGGCCATTTGCTGCCTCGTGCGTTCTCAATACTGTGCACGTTATTATAATCAATGCAATTATTTCAATTATTTATAGTCTTATGACTCTAGTGACTGTTGCAGCGTTCGATTTCGATTTCAACTCCTCAAAATCGTATAAGGCGTAAAATTTAATTTATAATGAAGCTTTTTTACTCATACACTATTATAAAATCATGAAATTTATATTTAGATATCTAGGGCATTTAAATGGGTCTTAGATACTCAAATCTCTCAATCTCGGAATTTCAACAGAATATTTTAGCCCAATTTATCTCGTATTGAATGTTAAAGGTTGCAGGGTGAAGGGCAGCAAGTATTCATAATATGTATCAACAATCGTGATGAAATGACATATTAATCAAGTCTCAAACCAAAATGAAAACGATAGGAAATCATTATGGAAGATAAATCGCTCATTAGACGACAAATGAAAAATAGATTTTACTAGATTGTACGTCATTAACATAGTATCGGTTCTACTTCGGTTACACATTGTAGCGTCGATGAGTATACATATATAGATAGATAGATATAATGGCTGAATATAATACGGGTTCATATAATATCTCAATAAAAATTACCCTATCTGAACCTTAATAAGACGTTATAACAGTACCCATCAATAAAACGTCTGCATGGTTCATCATTAGCCCTGGCATTCATCAATGTGCGCTTTGTCAATGCATTTGTTCGTAAATTAATGCACTTTTTGTAAACGCTCGCATGTTTCAACCGACATGTGCGTCAATGTACATATTTGTCAATGCAGGTACGCGTCGATACACGTATACGTCCATGCATGTCCATAAATGCACGTACCCATCGTTCAAATACGCCATTGCTTTTGGGTTGAATTGACGCCATTGTCGTTTGTGACGCTATTGCCTTTGTTTTGTTGCTGTTTGTGGCGCCGGTTGTCGCTGGTGATGCTATTGCCGTTGTTTTATGGCTGTTTGTGGCGCCGTCTGTCGTTAATTATTTCTCAAGCTCCGGCATTCGTTTGGCAAGGTCTATTTTTCTAATTTCCCTCAACTGCTTCCACTACAGTTCCGGTATTCTACTTCGCTGGATCCGAAGTTTTATCCTTTGGAGTTTCAATAAAATTGTTAGCCTTTACGTTTGTGTAAATTCCTTATACCATCGAGCTCAGCCAGCAATATTGGAATGCATGTTACTGAACTAGACGTTAGAAATGTTTCTATTTTTCTGTTTTCAGCACTTGCAAGCAATATTTTCAGACCTCGGTAAAATTGTTTGCTAGACGAATGGTTTCTTCAACAAAAGAATTGTTCAGCTTCGAGCATATGTCTGCATGCATGAACTTATTGCTCAAGCAGAAGATAGCTTATGAACTATTGCTTACAAGAGGCTAAACTGTGAGCAACTTATTTGATTTGAATATTTCCCGTAACTATCGTATATTCCGTTAATTATTTGATCGTCTCTCCAGGAACTGAGAGTGCAGTTGATAACTTTAATGCTTGAGAAGAACTACTTGTGAAACTCAATACTGCCAATGCAGCAGCCGACCATAGATGCAGAAAGATCCTCATTTGCTATGAAGTGTGAACAACTGAACGCTGCAATCAAGTTACTGCCGGAACTTGATTTTTTTAAATTAACATGTGCTTCTCCATTCTATTGTGTGGTCTTTCTTCCAACAATGGACGCAGAATTTTGAGGCCCTTGCAGAACTGTTCGCTCGATAGAATTTAATGTGACGAAAGTTACATGACAAGATACGGCAAATAATTCAACGATTATTTTCACACAATGTTGTTCATTCGGCAGGATACATGGATGGAACAGGAGAAATTGGCTTGACATGCATTGAATCAGTTATATTGACGTATCGATTGAAATTTTTTATTTGCGATTATTGCCCCCATTTCGAACTACGCCATGTCAAAATAGTTACTAGTTGCAAACGTTACTAGTTGAAAACGTCTATGTATGGAAATTGAGCCTCTGATAGACAGTGCTCTGATCTTAACCCTTTAAGCCCTGGTGTGATGAATTCGTCACACAGAAAATAAAAGCTTCTACCGAGAAAAACCAAGCGAGTAGTACTAGACTAAACATATATAGCGTATACAGAGTCAAATGCCCTCTCCCTTCGCCCCATTATATGGGGGAAGGAAGGGGGCATTTTAACGCACTCTTCATATTCGGTCGTGTCACTCCCAAAAGTATCAGGTGTCAAATATGCGCGCCCCGAACACGCCACACGGTTGTCAGGGAATAGACCGGATTCTAATCAGGTGTTTATTTCCCTCGCTCAACCACAACCTAAAGCGGACATAGAGCCGTTAATTTACGCGCTAGGCGAGTTTGGGGCGCTCTTGTGTCAGTGGCTGATAGGAATAAAAAATTTGATTGGGTAATGTCAGGTAAAACAGCAACCGTCAACGATCAGAGAAAAGCTACTATGAGAGTCATACTCAAGAATTGAAGCACGTTTGTAGTATCGATTTCATCATTGTGAAACTCATGGCGAGATGCCACAACAATTTTGGATTTCTCAAACAAAATAGCCTTCATCTACACATCATTGGCCGATAAATTTTGAACTTTTCCTCAAAAATCCAAGACTTCCTTATTTCTGAGGCAGCAGCACCGATAATTATATAATTTTATGAAGCGGTCCCATAGCTCATCCGTTTACTCCACCGATTCAAAATGCCATCCTAAGCATGTAACCCGTAGTACCAAAAATTCAAAATATAATATATGATTGAATTGAAGGTTAAAACGTTTCCGTCATCACTGAATTGCCAACTAAATAATAATTACGTTACTTTTGTTTGAAAATCTACCTCTACCCTGCAATATGCAATCCATATGACCCACTGATAGAATGAAACGACCATTACAAATAGTGTTTAAATATACAAATAGTGTTTGCAAATTACCCACTGATAATGGCGATCAATCATGTTGATGGCGGCAAATCATGTTGAAACAATATCGATTACGGGCTTATTGTGTTGAACGTTATTTAAACGCATCAGTTTGTCTGGAGAGGAACAGCTCAAATAGAGATCGCGGAAATTTCACTCTATTAGATCCATTTCATTCGATCTATATTTCGGAACATCCCAAGCCTTGCCCATCTCACCGCATGCCAGCGATGGGCTTGCAGTGCACTAGGAGGCTGGAGCGGCCAGCATCGATGCCCCACTTGTAGAGAAGGTTAGAGCGAAGGGCATTAGCAGCTCTGAGGAATTCTCTTTGTTCTCGCGAAGTTCCGTAGAGCGGATTGTCGTTAAACACTTCGATTTTAATCATGGATGAGGCGCCGGGCAACAGGGAGACTCTGAACCTGCCGCAGCTCAAGACACGGCCTCGGGCGCCAGCAACTCGGAACCCAACGATCGCCTTACGCTGCGTGCGCCTTCAGACTTCATCAGGAAGTCCAAGAGTGAGTCGCATTCATCCTCTCTGCAATGCATTTACATTCAGTCTCTCCGAAAAGCATTTGCAGTCAGCCTCTCTGGAAAGCATTTGCAGTCAGCCTCTCAGAAAAGCATTTCAATTCAGCCTCTCTGCAAAGCACTTGCATACAGCCTCTCTGAAACCTATTCATATTCTGCATATCTGACAGCCATTTTCATTCAGCCTCTCTGAATACCATACACGGCATACGCATTAGACATACTTGAAAACACTTCACATTCGGCCTCTTTGACCGTTTTTTTGCTTCCAAACTCGATAAAAACTTAACATTGGATACCAGTCATCAGAGATGCATAGCATTAACAAATGGTAATGTATCAGTGAACAAAAGGCTAATGTGGGCTAACCCGTTGGGTCCCGGGAAGAGCTCCTCCTCAGTAACGTCGCCGCGGGTTCTACAAACTGCCTCGACGAAGCGGGGGAACTTCGCGTTGTAAGCCTCGAGCAGAGCCACCGTCTCTTCCGTGAACAGCCACAAGCCGTCGCTGTGGCGGTGACTGTAGCCGAGTACCTGTGAACACAATACCTAGTACTTTTCGATACAATACCTTGTACCTTCGAAGGCAAGACCTTGTACCTTCGAAGGCAAGACCTTGTAACTTCGAAGAAAAGACATTGTAACTTTGAAGACAAGACCTTGTACCTTCTGACACTATGCTTTGTACTTTCTGGCACAATACTTTGTACCTTCTGACACAATACCTTCCACCTTCCTTAGAAGTTTTTAGTAAAGCACAATGTAAATCATACGCATATCCGATTCTCACGGTAGTCTTAGAATGGGATAGAAGTGTCGGCACTGAAGAAATAGGACAATGGCCCGTTGCCGATTCCTGTACTTTTCGTGACTTGATTCACAAGGGATCCGGCCTTTGGATCCCGATCTTTCCCTAACTGACTATTGATTGAGATAGCTGTTGGACTTATTGCCTGGTCCGTATATGTTGCTAGGCGTTTTTAGACTGAAAATATGCTCCTACATTGCTTCGTCTAGTCTGTTCTTGAAAGCGTTCATACTCGGGGCGTCAGCGATGCTATCAGGGAGGTTGTTCCACATGTCGGTGATTCGAAGAGAGAAGAAATGTTGTCGCATGGATGTGTTACAACGCAGTTTTTTTTAGTTTATAACCGTGGCCCCTGGTGTTGGTTCCTGTTTCAAATTCTAGTAATCCTTCTGGGACCTTGTAAAAGCCATGAGTATACTTGTGTGCTTCAAAGAGTTCCCAACGCAGACGTCGATAACTGAGGCTTGGAAGCTTCATAATCTTCAATCTTTCCTCATATGACTTGCCTTACAAGCCTGGAATTATTCTTGTTGCACGTCTTTGAACACTCTCTATTAAATTTTGGTCCTTCTCAAGTTTCGGTGACCACACGACGTTTCCAAACTCTAGATTCAGTCGCACGACAGCAATAAACAACTTCTTCGTCGCTTCTGCATCTAGGAACTCGAAAGAGCGTCTGATCAGTCCAAGTCGTTTTTTGGCTTCATTAACTTGACCATCAATATGCTTAGAAAATTTCAAATCGTTGTCGATATTAACTCCTAAATCTTTTTCCATTGTCTATTTCGACATCATCACTCTGTCGCTGCAACCGTGTCTTCTCGTACTGTAATCTTGCTGTTCATTATTCTTGCCAAGATGGATTACTTTACATTTGCTCGCATTTAAACGCAGCTTCCACTTATCAGCCCAGTCAACCAGCCTGCCATGATCACCTTGCAACTGTACTTTTTGCGACTTATTCTTCACTGCATTATAAATTTTTTTGTCGTCAGCATACATCGAACACACGCTAGACACAGCTTCTGGCAGATCGTTTATTAACGCAACGAATGAAACAGGCCCGAGAACGCTTCTTTGTGGCACGCCGCTGCGCACTGAAGCCCAGTCTGATTCGGGCCCATTAATCTAGGACACGTTGTCGTCTCCCTACTAGAAAATCTCTGATCCGTTTTAGTACATTACTCTCAATTTCCATAGACTTCAATTTACGCAACATCCGCTCATGTGGGACACTGTCAAATGCCTTGGCAAAATCGAGGTACACTGCATCTACTGGCTCCCTTTCGTCCAGCAAGCGGGCCCATTCGTTCAAAGTAGACAAGAGGTTAGTGGTGCAGGATCTCCCGGCAATAAAGCCATGTTGACAGTCTGATAGGAGATTATTAGCAGTCAAATGATCTACCAATCGATCCCTCTCAACAGATTCCATTACCTTGCAAACGACGCTTGTCAAACTGACAGGGCGATAGTTGCCCGGGCAGCTTTTGTCACCTTTTTTGAACAATGATGTAACTTGAGCTTCTTTCCAGTCAGCCGGAAAGATCCCTTCGTTCGAAGTTTTCGAAAAAATGACGTCAAAGGGCCGGCTAGGACAGTTGCTAACTCTTTGAGTAGTCTGGGGTGGAAGCCGTCCGGTCCGCATGACTTGTTTGGATTTACAGCGATAAGGCGCTTGAGAACCTCTTCTTTTTGTATTTCAAAACTTGTTAATTTAGAGCCGACTGAGTGCTCCTCAATAGCTGGAATACTGTTCAAGACCTCTTCAGTGAATACGCTACTGAAAAACTGATTAAGAACGTTAGCCTTGCCCTCATCAGAGGTTATCTTTCGCTGATCTACTTTCAAATCAGAAATACCATCCTTTAACTTGCTCTTCGAGCTAGGGTACAAAAGAAGGCTTTCGGGATCTTTTTTGCATTTATAGCAATATTTTTTTCGAAAGCTTTTACTGCGGTGCGACAGCTTTTTTTAGCTTGATTTCGAGCTCTTGCGTATGTGTTATAGTCAGCATCGCTACGAGTCTGTAAATAACGCTGGTAGGCTTCCTTCTTTGTTTTCAGCTTAGCTATAACTCTAATGTTCATCCACTGGATATTTTTGGCTCCACCAAGCTCAATTCTAGGTACACACGCGTCAACTGCAGACATAACCGCGTCAATGAGAAATGACCATGACTCATCCACATTCATGTCCTTGATAAGTCTTGCGAAAAACTCTAATCAATGACAGTTTTATCACAATTCAAGATGGTTAAAAACATTCCATCTCTCTTCACGGAAGGATATAGACTTATCATTAATTATTGACACCAAAATTCAGCTCACCTCCTGCATCTGTTTGAAGAACAAGAGGTCAAGTCCAATGTTGATCTTAGGCTTAGGTAAGGTGGGGGTCAATGGAGGCTCGTCAGGGTCTGATCTAAGCACCATCAGCACCGTGCCTGCGAGGCGCATCACCGTCTCCTGCGACATACCCAGGCGTTCGCCCACCTCGAATGCTGCTAACAGAACTTACGTATAAATATATAAACGCTTATCCTTATGTCACTCAATGATACAATATAGTTAAATTCATATATATAATTGATTATTCAGATCTGGTGCTTGATGCGACATACCCAGGCGTTCGCCCACCTTGAATGCTGCTAACAGAACTTGCCCATAAAATAAATAAACGTTTACCATTATGCTAATTATTTATACCGTTATTCAATTTAAAATTCACATATTGAGCTCTAAGATTTGGGAGAATAAGGTGTAGCGGTTGGCATGTAACTGTCAGATGTGCAAAAAATTAAATAACCAATTCATCATGAATAATAATAATAATATAAGATAAGTGTATATAATCTATTGTAAATGCTAGTGTGTTAATAAAATAATTGAGTAAATTCTACGACGGATAATGTTCGCGTAAATTTTTTTCTCGTCACAAATCATTTTGGAAAGATGCAGTCTGATACCTGTAAAATAAAATAACATATAAATAAAAGCATCACCTCACGGTTGAGAAGCACGTTACTCACCTTGCATGTATCTGTGTTAAATATAAATAAAGTCATAACCTCATGGTTGAGAAGCACGTTACTCACCGTGCAAGTATCTGTGTTCAATATAAATAAAGTCATAACCTCATGGTTGAGAAGCACGTTACTCACCGTGCATGTATCTGTGTTCAATATAAATAAAGTCATAACCTCATGGTTGAGAAGCACGTTACCTGTCTCTTATACACATCTAGATGTGTATAAGAGACAGACCTAGTACTTTTCCGAACCCTGCCTTAGACGTTCTTTATTGGTGGCATAAATCTATGACTTTTAATAGAAAATTTTAGCTTCTTCAATAAAGGTTTTGAATGTCCTTCTTTGTCACTTTTTTTGCTNGTAATGACCGTCAGTAACTGATGGCAGGTAATGACCGTCAGTAACTGATGGCAGGTAATGACCGTCAGTAACTGATGGCAGGTAATGACAGTCAGTAACTGATGGCAGGTAATGACAGTCAGTAACTGATGGCAGGTAATGACCGTCAGTAACTGATGGCAGGTAATGACCGTCAACAACTGGTGACAGGTAATAATCATCAACAACCGATGGCAGGTAATAAAGCAACCATCCGTAACTACCCGATCGAAATCCAGATTCCGATCAGGGGCGCCGGAGGCTTGCCATAGCCGCCTAAGGGCCCGTTCACACTAGTGGCAACGGCATGCGCTTTGAGTCGTGCTGCAGTGCCTCACCGCGCACAACCGTTCACACTACGTTTGTAAGCGATAGCTCGAGACCACGCGCTTTGAACAGTAGTTGCCACCTAGACCTAAATAAAAAGTTACAATATTCGTACCAATATTATATCATTCTTTCAAATCGTTAAACGGTAATGCATAAGTTGACAGGAGTAGCTAAAATCACAGAAACTAAACGCGTCATGTAAAAGTAACTTACATCATTTGAAATCTGAATGTCTTCATCGAGAGTAAACGTTGATTGACGAAGATCATCGCTGTCATTGATGAACATCAATGATTCATAGCACAATAGTTTCGGTTTGTACACTTGCTCAGTACCTGCGCCAGATTTGGTTGATTCTCGTTTCAGCTTAATTTCACGATGGAATTGTGAACGCAACATATGGATTTTCTTTCGAACTTCAGCAATGGTGACTTCAACACACAAATTTCTTAAAGCTCCAACTATTTTTACCATAGCTTGTTCCTTTGCATTTCAATTTTTGTACTCCTTTGACCGAACACTTTATAGGCATTCATTTTCTCTATAAAGATCAATTAGGCTCTCTACTAGAGAGCGACTCCGAACGAGTGGTGTTAAGGCCCGTTTACACTAGTGGCAACGACATGCGCTTTGAGTCGTTTGCTGCAGTGCCTCACCGCGCACAACCGTTCACACTACTTTTGTACTCGGTAGTTTGAGACCGCGCGCTTTGAACACTAGTTGCCACCTAGACGTCAATGAGGATGGGTGTGACCGAATTTGAGCTGTGGGCCATTGTTCTCAGGTGTGCTGCGGTCCGTCATTCTTCGCACTATGCCAGTTGTAAACGAGAATTTAGCAAAGGCATCATAATTAGAGAACTAGCACATTCAAAAAGATACAGTTTATAAAAATATAGTCTATTCTTAAATAAAAAGTTCCAATATTCGTAACGATATTATATCATCCTTTGAAATCGCTAAACGGTAATGCATAAATTGTCAGGAGTTGCTAAAATCACATAAACTAAACACGTCATGTAAAAATAACTTACATCATTTGCATTTCGATTTTTGTACTCCTTTGACCGAAACTGGGCATTAAAAACCTCAGGTCAGTTGAGATCTTAAATTAATTTGTTCTTTGTTGCTGAAATTGCTGATAATTAATTTTACTGTCAGATCCTGCATGAACCTGACCGAGATTATGTTTATTCCCTCCTAGTATCTACGTTCAAGTTTCGGGTCCGGTGCTGTCGCTGAGCCATTCCTGTGTGCCACGTTATTTCTTATACGTAACGTCTGCGTTGTCTGGCGTCACGGCTACGTTGCAGCGCCTGGGAGACCACATCTGAAGCCCTATAAACTTAGCCACGCTCGGAACAAGCCAACCTTATTTTATTTTCATTGCCATGGCTTACTGAATTTTACTGCATCGTTCCTGTTACCAGGAGGGTAAATAAATAAATGAATGAAAACCTTATGACGCATCGTGGCTATTACTGAAAGCGCCGTTGCTGCTTCCAGCCAATTTTAATTGTTCTGAATTCATTAAATAAAGCTTTGAATCTAAACTCGACTGTGTAAATCCTTACAGTAAAACGGCACCACGGATGAATAATGCGAAGATGCTCCATAATTAATATGGAAGCGATCCTCATGTGGCGCGGATGACGAGCCATACAGCAATGAAACTTCGCATAACCAAGTTGCTTCAAGAGAAATGTTTTGACTACAATACGTTTTAATAATCCTAAATTCAGGGCAAGAATTTATCTTGGAATAATTCATGAAATTTCGTCCAACAAAATTATAAATATAAATCATAGTTCGTACAACTAGAGAATTTCTAAGACATATTTATTTGATGGTAGCGACCTATTACGGTGCCGCGTGCCCCTAGAGGGACAACGTGACCGTCCCTGACGTGGACGACGCGGTCCCAAATTTTGGTCTCCACGGGACCTTTTACGGGGACGCTGCCTTGCAGAGGGTTCGGCTGGGGAGATGAAACAGAGGAGGGAAAATAATAAATGAAATTTGGAGGAAAGATAATCCTCAAGTCTCATTCAATATTACAAATCCAATCATCAACATCGTTCTTTATTTCATTTAAACCGAGTCTTCGCACAATATTCGCGAATTCCTTATAGTAAAACTCGTTTATAAATTACCTTGAACAGCATTTGGGCTTTAACCCGCATCTCAACAGGTTGTGAATGCTGCAGTTTGTTGAAGTTGTCAATCTCGTGCAGGAGTTCGCCACGGCCTCGGGCGCCAGCAACTCGGAACCCAACGATCGCCTTACGCTGCGTGCGCCTTCAGACTTCATCAGGAAGTCCAAGAGTGAGTCGCATTCATC